TTGCTGTCTCTTCCAAGTCCTTCTTCCTACATCCAACCTCACATTTCGGTGTTCCCTCCGTGTGGTGGGATTGTTTCTCTTTTTTCTCCTCGGCACACAGCTAAACTACATTTCCCAGCCTCCTTTGCACTGAGTCCACCATGTGACTGAATTCTGTCCAGTGGAATGTGAGCAAAAGTGATACCGCCACTTCCAGACCTGGGCCCTTGAAAGCCTTCCCTGTGATGTGGCCCTCTCTCCCCTCTGGGAATGGCAGAGCCACAAAATGGAAGGAGACTGGGTCCCTGAATGACCTTATGGAAGGCCACGTTCCAATACCAGCATTGGACTGTTACATAAGGAAGGAAGAAACTTCTCCTGAGTTATACCCCTGAGATTTGGGGGTTGTTTGTTACAGCAGCTAGCCTGCTCTGGCTAACTCCTGAGATTCTCTCCGCAGCTGCCTTCTCGTGCTGCACAGTGAATGACATAGTTTATCCAATGATGCCATTATTTATTTATGTGTTTATTTGTGTATTTATGTATTTATTTATTTATTTTAAAGATTTTATTTATTTATTTATTTGACAGAATTTGACAGTGAGAGAGGGAACACAAGCAGGGGGAGTGGGAGAGGGAGAAGCAGGCTTCCCGCGGAGCAGGGAGCCCGATGCGGGACTCGATCCCAGGACCCTGGGATCATAACCTGAGCTGAAGGCAGATGCTTAACCGACTGAGCCATCCAGGCGCCCCCATCGATGCCATTATTTAAATTGCTACCTAAAATCAGATGAACTTCAAATCTCTCTCTAGCTCTGACTTCCCTCCCAAGTTCTAAAAATGAACTCATTATGTTTTCCCCTTAAACTGCTCATCTCTCTGCATTTCTACATAATGCCATCGCATCTCCTCCACCTCCCAAGATAGAAATCTCGAAGCCTAACCTCATTCTTCCCTCCATCACCCAATAGCCAATTAGGGCTAAAATCTGATTTTCTGAAAAAGTGTATTTCAAACTTGACTGTCTTTTTCCCCTTAAGTCAGGCCCGCACTATATCCAAATTGTACTAGAATAATGCTCTCACCTTGGGCTGTATTACCTTCAGGCCATCCTCCTGGATGCTAAGTTCACTCAAAAGAGATCCAAGGGGCACCTGGGTGGCTCAGTCAGTTGAGCATCAGACACTTGATTTCGGCTCAGGTCATGATCTCGGGGTTGTGGGATTGGGCCCTCCATCAGGCTCCATGCTGGGTGTGGAATTTGCTTGGGATTCTCTCTCTCCCTCTCCCTTCTGCCCCTCCCCGCCTGAGTGTGTGTGCATTCTCTCTCCCTAAATAAACAAATGACTTAAAAAAAAAAACACCCACAGATCTAAGCTTGCCACAAGTTTAATTAAAGCCATCATTTGTTCATTCATTAATTCCTTTATCCCTCCATTCAGTAAACACATATTGAGTGGCTACTGAGTGCCAGGCCCTGGACTCTGAAACCACAAAGATGACCCGTGGATTTGGAGGGGCTCCACTCTAATGAGTGAGGGACACCTTCACATAGTTACAGCCCAGTTGTGCTGTAATTATTGTACAGCCCACACGATGCCCTGTGGAAGAAATGCTGTGTCTATTGGGCTGGAAGCTGCAAGGGCAACTTCACAAAGGCCGTGACATTTGAGCTGAATCTTGACGGTTGAGGAGTCTGGCGGGAAATCAAGATATGTGTGTCTGGGGCAAGCCGGGGGTGGGCTGGCTTCAGGCAGAGTGCCTACGAATGTAAGACTGAGTAAGTGGCTCTCTTCATGGCCAACCTCCTGGGATGGATCTGGCCCATAGTCTAGCTGGGCCGTCCAGGCGCCACAGACTCGGCAAGCAGGTACTGAGCACCCGAGGAAACCGAGGCACACAGGCGCCCATTTGCAGCTCATTGTCTGGAGCAAATAGATTGTCTTCACAGTACCCTGGGCTTCTTCTGTCTAACGGTTCTACCCCGAACCTCCCCCAAAACAGGACAGCCACCCACCATGTAGGATCCTCAAGCAATACCTTCTTAAAGTTTGAAAGTTTTCTCTCTACTTTTGGCTGGGTCAGCTCTTGCTGCTACTTTGGGAATCTTATAACCTTCTGATTATATTCCTTTCTTATTTTGTTGACAGTTCCAGCTTCATCTGCCTCCAGGCATGGTTGCTGAGCTTCAGGGCTCAGAGATGGGGGTCTGTTTCCCATTCCCTCAGCCCAAGGGCTTGGAGGACTCAGAACCAACAGGCGTTCCCCTCTGCTTGCAGCCCATCCTTCACAGGTTCTGCCTGCCAAACTGAACATGGTCCAGGGTCAGAAATAGGGATGCAGAGGACATCTAGGTGTAAATATCCATTTTCAGAAATGAAATGTCCTCAGAATCATGCGTGGAGGCTCTTTTCCTGTCTGCAAAAATGAATTGCATTAATAGATTTCTCAAGACCTTCTCTATCTAAACTCTGTTACCATCTGGAATTTTCATTTTGTATGACAAAGCTTTATTTGTAAGCATAATCTTAATGTGTACTTTTTACTGTCTAGACAGAATAAATATTTTTAGCATTTTAACCTATACCCCCCACCCAAGCACACATCAAGAAAATCACATGTCATATTCAGGGAGTTACCAGGAATTTGATGAGACTGGAGGGCATAATGTTTGCACCGAGGACTGACCAGGAGGGGTCCAGATCCTAAACGGGTCTTATCGTGCATGCTAGGGCTCTATCTTGACTGCCGTAAGAGGTGCAGGGATAATCTGGACAGAGTGGCCTTTTAGAAGGGTCACTGGGCAGAGGATGAAAGTGATTGGGGTCAAGAAACCCAAAGAGAAGACCGGGCAGGACCCAGGCAAGATGTGTTAGGGCCTGGGAGAAGGAATGGCTCCAAGGGACTATGGAAGAAGGATCAGAGGAACTTGGCACCCAAGAAGAAAGGACAGGAAGGAGTGGGGGTTCATGATGGTTCTGAGAAGCCCTGGAAAAGTCGAGAACAGACTTAGGTTTGGTGACCTCCCCACTTCTTTCAGAACTGAATTCAAACTCCCTTGCCCTTCACAGTGGGGCTCCAACCTGCTCTTCCAGCCCTCTCTCCTTTAACCAGACACCCCATCCCCTCAGCGAACACCTGCTTGTTAATGTGTTCTCTAATTGTAAAAGTGATAGGCATTTATTATATAAAACTCGGAAATACAGAAAAGTATAAACAAAATAAAAATCATTCATAAACCTATCACCTGATAGATAGCCACAGTAAACATTTGGGATATTTCCTTCAAATCTTTCTTCTATTAATGTCTATGTTTTTGCATTTTCTTTCCTTTTTTTAAATTAAAAAAATTTTTTTTAAGATTTTATTTATTTATTTGACAGAGGGAGAC